TATACATTTGACCGACGATTTTTCAACAATTTGATGAAGAAATTTCGAATTTATGACCGTGAAATCATTTTTCGTCTGCAATCGCTTATTTCTTCATCATGCCCCTACTACGCATTATATCATAAGTCTTCGTTTGTTTCCGGACATCATCGCTCTTCTCGAATTATGGACACTTTCGGGCTTGCGCTGTTTTATTCCTACTCACGGCCTCCGAAAATCATCGACACTCTTTCGCTCGCGACCTGTTGGACTTACAGATACGGCCTCAAAATTAGTTTGACCAGTACCGCTAGGAGATTTCGCGGTCGAACCTTCAGCATTTGTGCTAGCAATCTGCCCTATAATCTCTGCGCAAAAACTCTACGAAATGAATGAAAGTGGTTTAACAGAGCGCGAAATTTGAATGCACTTGAGGCAAAGCTGTCATTCTATTGTTTTTCCAGGCAATTATAGTGGTTCACTAAAAAGTTTTTTTTTCATACAAGACAAAAGTAATGAACTTTACAGTAGTAGTAGGAGCTGTAATAATCGATAATTCAAAAATTTATAAATTAGAAAATTCAAAAATTCATAAATTCAAAAATTTTAAAATTCAAAATTTCCAAAATTCGAAAATTGAGAAATTTGAAAATTCACTTACGTAATAATCTGATCCTATGGTGTTGTCGAAGTCATTACCCTTGGTGATTGAGCCCTGCTAACTATTAATAATTTTTCGCAGGTTTTCACAGTGAGGTCGGTTCGCAACTTGTTGGGAAACGACTGTTCGCGCTAACGACTGAATTTAAAGAGAAACGTATCTCTATGGGTCATTAGTTGCTCAGACGTCTTTCAAGATCGTAAACTGTAGTAAATTTTTGTAGTATTTCAAGGTCGCAATTTAAGCTGATTATCTAATTTTTTCTGTACATTTATCGAGTAAATTATCTAATAAGTCATCAATATAATCACGTAAATCAACTAAAAAAAAATTTCACAAAAATTTTCAAGGTGGTAAATACGGAAACTGAAAATGAAAAAATAGAAAAACAAGCAATTTGGCCATTCCTAATGGTAGAAATACCACATGGTACCATGTTCACATTTATTTTTTTTTTAATTGTATTTTGCCATCAATTTCATTGATAGTTGGCTTCCGAATGGAATACCTATAATCTCTCAGCTTTTTATTAGAACCAAGCGGTATATATATTTCGATTGCTTGGCAGAGCCCACATCAAGACGAATATTTTTAAAGCGAAAAGAATCATATCGGTTAGATAGTTTTTAAGACATTCCAGAAATAAGATCTACAAACGAATGAGAATTTCTCAAAAACGGCTTGATCGATTGGGCTGAAATTTGGCATAGAATTACTCGTCATTAATACCCATAATTCTACGAAATGACAAATTTTCCTGAATTTTTTGAGCTGGCTAATTCTACAATTTTCAAAAACGTGAGCACCAGATGGACATCCGCACATACACACGGGGAGGTCAAACTTCGTATTTTTACATTTCCGACCATTCTACATTATTTCCAAGCAAAATTAAGAAATCGGAAAATAGAATGATTAGAATGCTTCCATCCGGAAGCAAAACTAAGGCTATGGGTTGTAACGTATTTTTCTTCCACATCAACTCTCCTAATTTAATTTGAAAAAGATACGATTTGAACAAAAAAAAATCAAATCTACAATATATCCATTAATATTTGGGATTGAGACCTCGGCGTACGCTCATTTTTCTTCCTTTGAAGTGCACTTTTCAAAAACGAAAAAAGAAAGAACTTTCAAAATTCGACGATCCGAGTTGTGCTGATAATTGGAAATGCATATATTGCTAAGTCGGCAAGCCCATGACCTCGACTTCTCAGATTTTGATCGCGTCTTTTCATGAGGTTGAGCTGACAGAAAGAAAGAATTCTCAATTTTTTTAAATTTTCCCCATGTTTCGTTATTTTCTTTTCAGGCGGGAAGCTAGAAAAACAACGCCATGCTCTGAAAATCTGGAAGCATTCCCAAAATTAAACAAAATAAATTAAACAAAACAAAATAGTCTGACATGATTTTGCGATCGTTGAAATCAATTGGCAGCTCAAACGGCTGCACGTATGAAAAAAAAATGTAACTAGTAGTCGCGTTGTTGGTCGCTCGCTTCGCTCGCTCCCGAAGTGGGGTGCGTAGTTGTGGGTGGCTTGCTGGCGAATGCATTCATGCGGGTGTG